CTGTGGTTCTTTGTTATTTTCCTGAAATCATGGTGGCCACTGTGAGCAAGCACAGGAAACAGCACCGCATTATTAAGGAGGTGCTGACAAATTCAGCAAGCACACCCAGGCGCCTGCCAAAATACCTCTTCTACTCTGGATCCAAACAGCTGTACTTCACTTCTAAGTTGGTTCACTAGACAGATATTTGTATTGCTGGTATTTCCCTCTAAACTTGGTTGAGTTATATAAAGCAGTGGAATGGTGGCACTACTTTTATGTGGGAAACCTATTTTTTAAACTAATGTAAAAAAACGTTTGAAACATAGATGTGAAATAATACAAAGATAATCTTGGGTTCTAAGGTTTCAGAAATGTTCATTGTTATCAAAAAATGTATCTGGTACTCGCTTGATTTTATTTTGTATGCTTTATTTATCTCTTTGCAAAATCTCTTCCTAAAATACATCCAGAATGTTAATGTATTTTCCCCTCTCCCCCCACCTTTTTTTTTTAAGGCTGGAAAAATTCAGTTCGGCTACGTATATGGAATTAGTGCAATAGGGTGTCTAGGAATGTTCTGTCTCCTGAATCTGATGAGTATGACAGGTGTCTCATTTGGTTGTGTTGCAAGTGTCCTAGGATATTGTCTTCTTCCTATGATCATACTTTCAAGCTTTGGAATTGTATTTTCCCTACAGTAAGTAATACCAAAGACCATTACATTTGCATTTAATAATACTGTAATAATACTGTATAATATTGCTCACCATAAAAATGTACTCAAATGAATGTGAATTTATGTAGAATTTTAAAAAATACTTTACAATTTATAATCAAACTGAATTTGATTTTTTCATTTTTTTAAAAATTAATAAGAGTGTTTGCATTTTTGGTCCTATTTGGCTGGAAAGGAACATTTTTTTAATCAAATCTGGGAAAATTATTTGAATTTTTGCTCTTTTTTTCAATCTATTATCTCGCTTTTTTTAAGCATTCTTTAAAATTCTACCTACCAATCTAAATAACAAAATGTAGCCAGTAAAAAAAGTATGTGATACTGTAGCACTTCCAAAATGCAAGTACCACAAACATTTTAGTTTAAAACTATGGAATAGTAGCTTCTCAGCACAATATTTTGTGTTGGATCTTTTAGTCCAGAAGTGGGCAGTCTGGTCCTGCGGATGTGTCCTTTTCCATTAACAAGGTTCCCTGTCCCCTCTCATTTTCTTATTTTCAAAATCATTTTAATTAAGTAAATAAGAAACAAATGCTATAATACAAAGTACAAGCTTTTATCATTTTTTATCTTTGAAACAATTCCATAACATTTTACATTAGTCAGGAAAAATTATTCAGAGTAACCTTCTAAAGTGGGTAAATTTCTAAAGCTTATTAAAAGGAAATACTATCTGACTTCAGAAGAAGATCATAGTTACGTAATTTAACATTAAAGTGTTACATAAAGCTCAATGACATCCAAGTGTGTATACATTTTCCAAATTTACTGAGATCCATATAAGTACTAATTCAATGGAAAGATTTTGTATTGACAGTTGGAGGCTTTTGAACATTTGAATTAGGAATGTTAATAACAGTTTTGGCCAGAAAATAATTTAGTGCGTAAAATCTGTATAATTGGATAGCACACTTGGCATGTCTCTAATGTAAAACTATTCTGATATATACAGAGTTATGTGATATTATTAGTGCTTGATTCCTTTCCTGTTGTTGTTTTCAGGGGCATGATGGGAATTATTCTTGCTGCTGGAATTATTGGATGGTGTAGTTTTTCGGCCTCCAAGCTCTTCATCTCAGCATTAGCAATGGAAGGACAACAACTTCTAGTAGCATATCCCTGTGCTTTATTATATGGAGTCTTCGCCCTCATTTCTGTGTTTTGAGCTGACTGTCTTAATTATTGGACTTAAATGAGCCGAACTGAAAGCTTTTACTTGGGATCCTTAAACTGGGACCAGAAATCAACTGTTGGCTGCTATCTTTCAAGATTAATATTTGAATTATTGTCTGGAGCAACAATAACAAAGTTTTCCTTTTGTGTTTCTTTTTATAGGACTCTTAAATACATTTTTACATTGACCTATAAAAGCTTCAGCTTTCAAACAAGCTAATTATGCTGTTTAAAATGTAAAACTCTTTTCAGTCCTATAACTTGCAAAATGTTATTTTTGAAAAATTTTGTAATTCAGAAATTTTTATTGACAAAAGAAAATGAAATCATTAACATGTTTTCCCATAGTAATATATAGCAACAAATTTAAATGACAAACATTTCCCATTTTATCAACTTAGCAAAATAGAAAATTTCTCATAATAACATTTAATCTGAAAGCAAACACAAAATGGATCCCATATATAATTTTTCAGCCTTTTTATAATCCTCCAATTCTTTTTCTTTACTATCCAAATGTCTTTCCAGGCTCAAAGTTATTGTGTTTATTTCATTTTATATATACTTTGTAAATAGTTCTGTCATCTTATATACATGTGGGAAAGTGCTTTTTATTGCAAAATTGAAAATTCCAGTAGTTCACCAAAAGCTTGTTTTAGAAAACAGCTTTGACAAATATCAGTAATGCAGTCTAGTATAAAACACACAGATTGAATTTTCTCAAAATGTTCTTACGTTTTTCCTTTTAGTAATTTCCTTTACTGTAATATTGTCCACTACAGAATTGCTTAGCTATTTATTTGAATAAAAATTTATTCCCACTGAGCAAACATTGTTTAAATTATGATGTAGTAGAATCCATTTCATATTTAAGCAGTTTAAACAACTACAGTGTCATGGTCATCAAGAAATATTGAATTCAGATTCTAGCCATAATGACAAAAACAATGATTTAATTGGAAACCATGTACCATTAAAAAATGCAGTAATGACTTACTTTAATGTTATGGAATAACGAAATGAAATGGCTAACATGTTCTTTACAAGCTTATTACAAAAGTAGACATTTTTAAGTATCTCGTTGAGCAATACTGGTGAACAATGTAGCAATTCTTTTTGTACTTCCAGCCCCCCTCCCCCCAAAAAAAACTTCCTGAGTTACTGCAGAGCTCTTCATACATTGTTTGACTTTACCTATTAAATTTCTTACAGTGTAAGAAGTTCAGACTTCTTTACACATACAAATTTCTGATATTTGTATTATAAACTACATTCCAGATTTAGGCACACACCCCCCATGATGCTTAATTGATGTGATTTCACATGCAAATGAACTATCCTGATGCCCCAAATGATGGATATTTTGTACCATTAGAAACAGCTTTGTTGGGCTTTGCTACATAAAGGCAATGTTGGCAAATAATGTCGTTTCTCTTTATTGCTACCTCTACATACTTAGAATTCATTTGTAGCAGAACAACAGGATAGAGATAGTTTGGTGTAATGGTTAAGGCAACATGCTAGAAACCAGGAGAATGAGTTTTAGTCCTACCTTAGGCATGAAAGCAAGCTGGGTGACTTTGGCCCAGTTACTTTCAGACCAGTCCACCTCACACAGGCCTGCT